ACTAATCCAGGCAGTTGCCAGGAGTCAAAACTGACTCAAAGGCACGAAAACAGCAAGATGTCCCTTGCATGTCTCTTAATAATTACTAGCACAGTATTTTCTAATTCTTATTTTTAATATCCATTTTTTTACATCAGTATTTCAGATGTTCTTTCTGTGCTCAATTGAGAAGCATTCTAGGCTTTCTGTGGCCACTCTAGAGAGACAGTAAATCCTCCATTTAATGGATCTTAATTTAGTGGATTTCAGCTAAACCAAGGTTGAGGCATGGACTGAAATCTGGACAGCGGGGGTTTATGCAAGCTGACTTTTCAACTATTTTGATCATGGGAGAAAAGCAGTTTCAGGCTATCAGTGTGGGACTGCCCTTAGACAGTTTGCACGCTGGACTGGATCTGCTCCTGCTCAAGTGGCCAGAGGAGAATTAGTATTCCGTCACTACAAAAAGCAGTGGCTGATCAAAATATGGTCTGAGACAGCGAAGTGGTTGTCTAGCAGATTGACTCAATCCACACCTGAAATCACATGGGAAATGGGTGTCTCATTGTGCTGGAGCAGTTTTCTTACAGTAATTGCTTTTTTTAGTCACAATACGAGGAGTGAAATAGGACGAGCCAAGATTATCTAGGCTTTCTTAGCCTTTGTTCGCTTTCTTTTCACAGAAAATCCAGATGATGTCATTATAACAAGTAGCTACATCACTTTCATGTTTGTTCAGACCTGATTTGTTAATGATTTTTGCAATAAAATACAATGCAATGCCAGCTGCCTGGTTGGATAGGCAAAACATCAATGGAATTTTAAAAGATGTTTCATCATAATTTCCTTTCTTTACACTTCTTTTGTTATTGCTTTCTGCTTAGCATTTGGGGAGTTAGTGATGAATAGCCCGTTAATATTCATTCCAGTTCCCCCAATGATAGGGGATCATTTGCTGGTTCTTTTTGATTTCTTTTTCTCTTTTTCTTTTCTTTTCTTTTCCTCTCTCTCTCTCTCTCTCTCTCTCTCTCTTTCTGCTATAAAAACCACCAACAGCTAAAAAGAAAGAACATGACAAAATATTTTATTAAAACCTTACCCTTTTCTGGAGAACAGGGAAAATTCTTCAGCTGTACGAAACAAGAAGCAATAAAATGGCTTAGAGGAAGCTGCTAATTAAAGCTAAGACGTTGTTTACATGCAAGTAAGCATTATAGAAGGATTGGGGCCCTGAGGAAAAGATAATACAGCCATTCTGTGTGCAAAAGTCACCACTGAAATCCACTTCCAGCTCATTGATTAAAAAAAAATCAACTTTGGCATGGAAGAATGAGAAGAGTTAGTAAATTCTTCAGAATAGGCAGAGAATGAAAATGTCTCTTTTCTTCAGGGGTGAGCATGCATTTAAGAAAGAGAAAACTATGAGAGAAGAACATTTCCATTTTTATCTTATCTAATCACTAGGAGGAAGAGCACAGTCTCCCACGTATTATCAATAGCGTCTTCTTGTGCTATTTGGTGAGAAGGGGGGATAGCAATAAGCGATTTCAGGAAAGCAGACCTAGTTTAACTAGTGGGTGGTGAATTACAGAACTAGAATTGTTGCAAGCACAGCAGAGCCACACTATGAGGCTTAATCACAGTATCTGGACACTCCATTTTGTTCTTCTCATGTAGCTTTTTAAGAAATCTCTCTTCATATAACCTCTCAAAGAAAAAAGTTGTAAGCCTGACTTTACTTTCTCATCTAGTTTCCAGGAAGAACTTTTTAACTAGGAGAACCACCATCTGCATTCTGAACAGCAGAGTTCGGTGACTTACGTCACATCTGCCTACTGATCCTGTGTAGCTGAGCTCCGGTCTCTGCAGAGATTATGTGAATGTGTGTCACCTCCCTTGCCCTTAGAATCAAGAGGCCTGTCCTGCCCAAGTAAGGAGAAAGCTGGTTGCCTATGGCTGGCTATCCAGTGTTGCACTTCCTTCCATGCTTTGGCTTTTACAAAGCCTCTACCACAACTGTCAGATTTGGACTGCCAAGCTCCAGATAACCACTCTATGGTACCAAAGAGAGATGGAAAAATTGGTACCATCTAGTGGTTACCAGGAATCTTGCAGCTCAAATCTGGCAACTCTGTTCTAGGTCCACACTGCATCAGTCAGGCTGCAGTCAGGACAGCACCAACCTATCTGCCTGTAGAAACAAGACACTTGGTTCATTCCAGTAATGCTGAAATGGCCTTAACAAAGCAGATTTTGAGCTGAAAGGTTTTGCACCTAGAATCTCCCACAACAGGGCCAAGGCTCACCTCTTATTCTGCAGAAATTCTTAAAATCTCATCTTCCACTTTGCACAGCTCTCTCCCTGAAATTAGAGGTTTTTCTAGTAGTAATGTATGGCTGTGAGATCTGGACCATAAAGAAGGCTCTGCCCCGAAGAATTGAGGCCTTTGAACTGTGG